TAAGACTCCAGCTCCAGAGGATCCAACACCCTCTTAAGCCCTCCCCAGGCCTTTGCACACACACATGGCATACCCTCACACAGAAACACACAGACGTAAATGAAAATTTTTAAAAAGTAAATCTTAAAAACTTTTTTTTTTCTTTTTGAAGCAGGGTCTCCCTGTAGCCCCAGCTGTCCTGGAACTCACTATGTAGACCAGGCTGGCCTTGAACTCACAGAGATCCGCCTGCCTCTGCCTTCCAAGTGCTGGGACTACAGGCATGTGCTACCATGCCCAGCTCCTTAAAAACATTTTAACAGCCCACATGTTTTAATTTATGTATAGCAATACAATTTATATATTAAAGAACACTGTAATTAAATGATTTGATACAGTTTTAAACTGAAGGAAAAATGGAAATATTTCAGATGCACAAAGGATTTAAAGAAAAAAAAATAAAGAGAAGTGTGAAAAACCATCTCACAGGAATAGACTGATTGTGAGATGTGCACCAAGATAGTCCATGAAACCCAGTCAGATTTCATGATAAATGTGACTGTGTTTTGACATTTCACAGCAGAGCAATAGTTGCTTTTATTTTATAGTACAGCATGGCTCTGCTCAGTTAATTCATTTAAAAAATAATATTGTTTATTTGTTGAGAATTTCACAGTTATTTTGATCATATTCAGACACTCTTTCCCATCAACTCTCAGATCCGCCTCCACCTCCCTCCACCCCTTGACTTCATGCTCTCTATTATTATTTCTTAAGGCCTATTGAGTCTAATTTGTATTCTCCACATAAACTGGTGTGTGGATCCATCCCCTGATCAGCCTTCTTGGTGTCACACCCTTAAAGAAAACCAGTTCCTCCTCTCCCAACAGCTATCAGTTGTCAGTATTTCCTCAGCTAGGGCTAGGGGCCTTTCTTGGCCACCTTTTCTCATCCATGCTGGGCCTCTGTCTGACTTGGGTTAGTACAGGTCTTGTGCATGCTATCACAAGCCCTATTGGTTCGTATGTGCAAATGCCATGTTGTGTCCCTAGAGTCATCCAGAACCTCTAGCTCTTATAGCCCTTCCACCCCCTCTTCCTCAATGATCCCTAAGCCTTGGGTGGAGAGGTCATAAAACAGCCGCCCTTTTTAGGACCCAGCACTCTGAGTCTCTTATTTTCTGCATGTTGACTAATTGTGGATCTCTGTGTTAACGAGCATCTGTTTCAAGAAGAGGTATTATCCCATAGCGTGGGGGCAGTGCCCCTAGAGGACACCACAGGCTAACAAGGAAAAGGCCCAATACCTTTTTACCCTCCAAGGACAGAGCAAGAGTCTGTGAGAACCAGTTGACAAAGGACCCAGACATACCTCAACAGCTTCTGCTTGCTCTTTTGTTTCAAACTCCAAAAAGGCAAATGTATTTGAATCACCAGTAGACTTAATGTACCATACTTATGTAAACCACATTGCTACATTTCCCAACTACACTTTCAATCCAGCTATAAGTAATATTTTGGGGAAGTAACTCCTGTGATAAATTAGAAACAGTATTAATATATGGTCTAACCATTTTGAAATTCATACACCTTACCAGTAAATGGGATTAAAAAACAACCCCAAGGGGGCTGGAGAGATGGCTCAGCAGTTAAGAACACTGACTGTTCTTGCAGAAGACCTGGGTTTGAATCCCAGCACCCACATGGCAGCTAACAACTGTCTGTAACTCCAGTTCCAGGGGATCTGACAGCCTCTTCCATCCTCCACTGGCATTGTATAACATGGATGCACTTACTTATGTGCAGGCAATACACACATACACATAAAAATAATAAAATACTTAAAACAACAACAACAAAAAACAAGCAAACAACAACAACAAAAGAAAAACAACCACAAAAACCTAATGCCAGGAATGGATTTCTTTTGGAGATGTTGACCAGGGAAGTTCCATAAACCCTCAAACAGTACTGAATTGCCACTGCTCTTGGTTGCCCTCTAGAACTTGATGGTAAGACCATATTTCTGAAGACTCCAGTTCCAGGGGGATCTGACACCTTCTTCTGGCCTCCATTACACAACACGGGTGCATTTACCTACATGCAGGCAAAACACTTATATACATAAACTATAACTTTTTTTAATTAAAAAATTCTTCTAGATCTGGGGATGTAGACCAGTTGCTGGAATGATTATCTAGCATTAATGAAGCCGTGGGATTCATACCCAGCACCACAAAAAAACCAGAGGTGGTGACTCACTCCTCTAAGTAGAGTCCAGAGTACCCACAGTTCAAGGACATCTTTGAGTACGTCACAGGTTTCAGGTCACACTGTGGTATATAAGAGCTGGCTCAAAAGAAACTTGTTTTCCAGCTGTGACACACATCTGCATGAACCTTCCTTTATCAGCTCCCCACTCTTCTGTACCATGCTTCTGTGTTACCTCTGATCTGCGGACATCAGCTCCTTATACGCTTACACCCACAAAAACAGCTGTGAGACAATGCTGTATGTTTTCTTAGCCTACTAAAAATAGCTATTTTCAAAGGAATGGTTAAATTTGACAATTTTTTCAAATAAACGGAACTTTTATTTATTAAAATCTGGAACTTCATCAGTTGGAATGGATACCAATACAGAGAAATTATTCACTTTTCCCCTGAATTTTAATCATTTGCATATTTGTGGCCAGTCCCTTCCTGAGAATTTGACTTTCTAGCTCTATCATACAACTTTTTCCTCCCATGAGAACTGTAGTTCAGAGTTATTTTGACTTTGAAGATTTCAACATTCAAAATTTTGTTTACAATATTATCATTCTGGGGGATTTTAGACATTAGAACACTGATCATTTATCAAGATTTTAGTATCTTATTAATTTTATCAATTGTTACTAATATTAATTATTTTATCAATTTTATTAACTGTTACTATTTGATCATCAAGAGTCTAGCCCTCCTTAGGTTCCCACAGCACTTACAATTGTGACTTTGGGAATTATGTTGAGCACTGTTTCCAAATAAGGTCGCATTCTAAGGTCCTGGTAATTAAAACTTCAACATGTGAATTTCATGACACACAATGAACCTGTAACAACCAGATTAGTTATGGTGGAGCAATCCTGACATCCCGCCACTGGGGAGGTGGAGGCAGTAGAACAGGGAGTTCAAGTTCATCCTCAGCTACAGATTGAGTTTGTGGTCAGACTAGGCCATAGAAGACCCTGTCTCAAAAAGAAAAAGAAAGCATAAAAAGCCCAAACCCCTCAGGTTTAGCTGCATCATCTTAATTCCTCCCCAAAGTGCAGCCTGCACAACCTATCAAACCTCACATTTCCTCAAAATTAGATATTCAGCCCTCTCCCCATCCCACAGAAGTGAGCCCAGCTTAGTCTCTGACATTTCTCTCCTGTGTTTTGGACACTTCCATGGGGGATCTTCACCCTCTCTGTCACTTTATACTGACAAAGTTTTGACCTTGTTCACCGCAACATTTAGAGCTAATCTCTGAAATTTATAAAGTTTTAACATGTTTGGAATGAGCCATATGAGAAAAAAATGATTAGAATTCATATGACATAAACCCCAATCTTTTAAAAATTTTTATTTATTTCTTTATTTTATGTGTATCCTTTGCCTGTATGTGTGTGCCCATGTGTGCAGTGCCTGCTGACGTCAGAAAGATCTGTTAGAACTAGAGTTAATAATGGTTGTTAGCTACCGTGTGGGTGCTGGGAACCAATCCTGGGTCTTCTGCAAGAGCAGCCGGTGCTCAACCTCTGAGTCATCTCTCCAGCCCCGTAAATCCCAATCTTGACATTCCCTCTTAGTATGAAAGCTGTTACATTTCAGTGAAGTAATAATAACATGTTTGCTTATGGTATGGTCCCCAGGTCCAGAGGTGGCATTCAACATAGCCTTAAAAATATGGAGCTGGGTGAGCTGGAGAGAGGGCTCAGGAGTTAAGCGCATTGGCTGCTCCTGCAGAGGACCTGCTTTTGATTCCCAGCACCCACATGGTGGCTAACAACCACCCATAACTCCAGTTACAGGGGAAATCAATGCCCTCTTTTGATCTCCACAGGTATAGCACAACAGGGGTGTGCTTAGATACAGGCAGGCAATATACACATGTGCACAAAATAAAAATAAATTAATTTGAATTTTTTAAATGATATCTGGAATCGGGGGGTGGGGCTGGAGGCTACAATTGTCTTGCAACAAGAGACCCTCCTGCTTCTAATCCCAGTGGGATTTGCGAGCTGCCACGCCCAACCACAGGGAGGTCTGATCCTTTCAGTCTATTGGTATCTTTGATTGAATCACTGAAGCCAGGCCCTATAAAAGGGAGAAGCCATGGAGATACCATTGTAGAAGCCAGAGCAGAGAGCCTGACACACATCAACTCCCTGTGCTACTTAGAATTGCCCCTTTTGAAATTTACCTGTGGAAGAGGTAAGCTTTAAGAATGGAAAAGTTCCCACTTTTGTGAGCCTGAATGCATGCATGAAAGAAGATTTATGGTGCAGGGGTGGGGGTAACTCATTACAAACATGGACTTATTGGAAGGCTGTTGTCTCTTTTGACAAATCACCCTAACTCAAGAGTTTAATGCTTTAGACTATGTGTGAAGGTTTATATTGACCAAAAGGAAATTTGTTCTCTGTATGTTTATGGTTGTGTCTTTGAGCCTTAAATTTTATGTTGAAGGTAATTATTTTTATTTTTTACCAACCATGGCACACCAAGTTTTGTCCTGCTAAGTCAAGTACGTTTTACCATTTCATTTGAAAGAAAAACTTCATAACTTTTATGTGAGATTAGAATGATGCATTTAAAGCCTGATTAGGATTCATCCACGAATCCATCTGTGACAGAAATTTCAGTTGATTTGTTTGTCTCTAATTAGATATATTTGTAGCTTACAGCTTTTAACTATCCATCATTTGTTTAAACAGTGGAGATGCAAGACAGAGTCTGAATTGACGGAGTTGAATCCTTGTGCGACTTCTTGACAAGAATGACTTCCCATCTCAGAAAACCTGAACCCTCTGAACCATCCTCAGATGCTCTTGAATTAAACATCTTGGACGTTAAACCAACAGAGGATTTGACTGCACAGTCAGGAGAGCTCTCTAAGCTTCCAAGTGCTCGGCTCCACTCACCTCCACATGGCAATGGCTCATGTGCAAAGCAGGAGTTGCAGAGCCTCGGTGAGCAGTTTAACTCCTGGTTGCAGCCAGAAAAGCATACCAAAGAGGAGATGGTGTCTCAGCTGATCATGGAGCAGTTTGTTCTCACTGGACGCTGCAAGGACAGGTCTGCCTTGAGAGAGAAGTGGGAGTCAAGTGGCAGAAACATGGAGACGTTCATGGAGGACCTGACTGATGACTGCTTGAAGCCTCCTGTCTGGGTGAGTACGGGGGTCTGATGTGGTGTGTGGGGGGTTAAGGAGGAAGAAGTATAGTCTGTAGGAGTTTGGTGGAAGTGGAGAAAAAGTTTGTATAGTTTGTTATCAGATCACACTCTCTCCCTTTCACTCTTTTTCACAAAGAGGAATGGCCACTGCTCTAAGTTAACAAGAAAAAATCAGGAAGATACTGTCCTAGTTTTGATGCTGTTGCTGTGGTAAAAACACCGACCAAAAGCAACTTGGAAAGAAAGAGTTTATTTCATCTTACAGTCAGGTCATAATCCATCACTGAGAGTCAGGGCAGGATCTCAAGGCAGGAGCCTGGAGGCTGGAACTAAAGCAGAGACCACAGAGGACTGTTGCTTACTAGCTTTCTCCTCTGACCTATTTCAGCCTAGATTCTTATACAACCTAGGACTCCAGGGGTGATACCACCCACAGCAGGCGGTTCCCTCCCACATCACTCAAAAAAAAATTGCCTCACAGGCATACCCTATCTGATAGAGACAATTACCCAAATGAGGTTCCCTCTTCCCAAGTGTGTTGACAACTGAAGTCAGCCATAAAGCATACCTATTGATTGCTTGATAGCAAGAGGCAGAGAGACCGAGAAGTTGACATTTCAGTGGAGCCATCAAGGCTTAAAACGAAAGGCCTTTGGGATGCAGGCATGGCTTATTTACTAAAAGCCTTGCCTTGGAAGCACGAGGACCTTGTTTGGATAGCCACATCACATTTAGAGCTAGGCATGCAGTACATTCCTGTAATCCTGCACTGAGAAGGTGGAAAATGGTGGGTTCTATGGGGTGCTGGTCAGTTGATATAGTTTGCTTAAGTTTCAGTGAGAGACAGTGTCTCCAAAAATAAGGCAGAACTCTTTCAAGGAAGACGGGATTTAATGCGCCTCCACACTTACACATACGAACATACATACATGCATAACACACATATACACACACACAAGAAGAAATGTCTTAAGAAGGGCTGCTTCCTCAGGAAACTAGAATGTACTTTTTCTAATCTAGAAAAACATTCTCTAAACACAATTATATGAGATACTCTTTTAGATTCCAAATTGGAAAAATTCTGAGTCACCGAACACATTCTCAGTCATTTGCTGAAATGACCAATGGGGTAAAAAAATGACACCTGACACACACATAGAATCTGATGTATAAGTCTATGCACATACTTCTTGTGTTGGTTTTGTTAAGTTTTCTTTTAACATGTTTCATTCCACATTTTCATGTTTTTGAACTTTTTCATTGAGAATTTCATCCTTTAAATTGACAGACTTGGATGGTGTTGACATTGCTGTCCAGTCATGTTCCCAAGTGCAGAAATGTGTTCTTGTATCTTCTAGAATTAGTACATATGTTGGGGCTGTTTCATTCAGGCATGAGTTATAGCACTGTGGGTCATAAATTCTGTTAACTGGTCAATACTACATAAATAGAAGCAATAAGGTTATGCATTGATAAAAATGTTGTGGCCAGAAGCTCACAGAAAACTAATCTTACATTATCCCCAGGGACAATGACTCAGCATTTGCTAACTCAGTGTCTATAGTGACTTTAGAGGACATGACAAGGTGTGAGTAATGATGACACCTTTAGAGACCTGGGCTGGACGAGATGTGGTGACCCGTAGTTGAGGGATCCCATGAGCATGTTGAGGCAGGGTTTCTGACACACAGCAGATTGACATCCAGTGGTCACGTGGTTTTGTTCTCAGGTGCATGTCTTCATGCAGGGAGAGGAAGCCCTCTTTCCTGAGCATATGCCCTTAAAAGAAGTCATCATGCATTTGAAAGAACAGAGGTCAGCAAAAATGTCAACAGAAGACCATGCAAGGCCCTTCCAGCCTCCCGAAGATGGTCCCTTGGATATGGGTGAGTCAGGCGAAACTGGACACCAGAGGGGTGCTGTGTTGGGATCCTTTCTTGGGCAGTGTTTCATAGGTTTTCTTATTTCCTCAGGTCATGAAGACGAAGAGCAAACTACTGAAATGGATGACAGACTACCAGGCCGAGGAAATCAGATAGAGTCCCTCATCATTATCCAGGAGAACTCTGCTGAGCCTGAAGAGGGAGGTGTTTCTTATGGAAACCCTCAAGATGCCACAGTAGCAAGCCAAGGGACCTCTAGGTCCCAAGAAGTGTCCGTAAAGGAACCCTCTCATGAAGATGTCTCTATGGAGGTACAACCAGGGTTTCCCTGCAGGCCAGAGCAGTCAACCTCTGGGCCTGAACCTATGTACCAGAATTATAATGGAAACTCCCCAGGTGAGAGGCAGAAAGCAAGATCTCATAGATTTACGGAAACATGCAAATGTGATCAATGTCCCCAGACATTTAGGTATTTCTCTCATCTTTTAACCCACAAGAAGAGGCATAGGAACGAGAGGACAGTTTTCTGTGGGGAGTGTCACAAAGGTTTCTATCATCAGTCAGAACTCCGAGTTCATCAATTCGTTCACTCTGGGGAGAAGCCTTTTAAATGCACCACGTGTGAAAAGTCCTTCAGCAACAAGACCAACCTGGTGGCTCACCAGAGGATTCACACAGGAGAGAAGCCCTACAAGTGCTCCATGTGCCATGCCAGTTTCCGCCAATCCTCCACGTACCATCGGCACATGAGGAATTACCACAAGGGAGACTGAAATGTGATCCTTCCTCAGCTCTAACACATTATCTTTACTAAGTTCCTGCTGAGATTTGAATGTTTGTGTCCTCTGAAATTCATATTGAAATCTTATAACCACCAATGCAGTCATATTGCGTCAGACCCTTAAGAGATGATGAGACCACAAAGTCTTCTCCCTCATGAATGAGGTTAAGGCTATTGTGTGCACTGCTGTTTTGCTGTTGTTTCATCTGTAGTCTGAGCACAGTTAGTGAGAGGTACCCTTCCAGATCTACCACTGGTTCTGTGAGGAGACAACAGCCAGCCATTTTTTTTTTTTTTTTTTTTCTGTAAAACATTAGCACTGGGCAAGGCAAATGGCTCAGCTGGTAAAGGTGCTTTCTGAAAAGCCTACAACCAGAGTTCAATCTCTGGGACCCACATGGTGGACATGGAGGTAGTGTACCTGCACACATACATGAACATATGCAGGCTCACATATAGCACACACAGACATTTACACAAACATACTACACATATACGCATACTCAGTACATACAACCTTTCCCTTCCCCGCAAACCCATTAGTTTTGTGCCTTTGTTACTACAAAATGCATCAAGTACAAAATGTGGGCTACTAAAAATGTGATTTTATCAATAAAGTTTAAAGTTTATACACATGAAAACCATCAATGAGGGGCTAAAAATTCATCTGCTGGAGAGATGGCTCAGTGGTTAAGAACACTGGTTGTTCTTGCAGAAGACCCAGGTTCAAATCCCAGCACCCACATGGCAGCTAACAACTATTCATAGGTCTAGTACTGGGGATCTGACGGCCTCTTCTGACCTCTGCAGGCATTACACAACACGGGTGCACCTACCTACGTGCACACAATACACTCATACACATAAAATAAAAATAATAAAAAACCTTTTTAATTCCTCTGCTAAATAACGGTAATATTTAGAATGTCTAGGGCATAAAAATATTTTATAAATATGCTCCCTCTGAATGTTTCAAATTAGTGAAAATCTTATCAGTTTGTCCCAAATGGTGATATGATGGATTATTTAGGACCTTTCCCGTCAGGAAGAACACATAAGATTTCAGAAGATTCATAATGAAAATGGGCTTTGACTCCAAAATAAAATGGTGGCAAGTTTCATGTCTTCTTGTGCACCCACCCACCATTTTATATTGCTGCAGTCCTGGGATTAAAACAGTCTCACTCATGCAAGGCAAGTGCCCTACCACTGAGCTATATCCCAAGCCATCGTTTTAATTTTGAAGCATCATCCAGATTGGCCTTGAACTAACTATTGTAGCCTAGGCTGCTCATGATTTTTTAAACTCAGCTTCCTGAGTACCTGAGAGCACATGCCTGTACCACCACACCTGGTTTTATTGACCTCCTTTTATTTTTATGTGATTTTAATGAAAATATGAATATTGAACACAGGTACCATGTGTATCACGTGTACCGTGTGATATTTCAACACATGTATCCACCGTTAATCAAGTTAAATAGAACTACCTTTTCACTACTTGATGGCAACAGTCTTTTTACACTTCATTTTTTACGTGTGTGTGTGTGTATGTGTGTACCTGTATCCATGCACACATGTGGGGAGCAGAGAATGTTGGGTTTCCTCCTGCTCTATCACTGTGCCTCATTCCTTTGGGCAGCATCTCCCAAGCCCCCGAGGTCTTCCTGTGTCTATCCTCCCCCCCCCCACAACCCTGGTGATACAGGTATATCTGGGGCCATACCCAGTTTTTTACATAGGTACTGGGATCAGAACTCAGGTCCTCATGCTTGCAGAGTGGCACTCTTACCCACTACTGAACCATCTTTCAAACCCCATCACCTTTTTAGATACACGATCCATGATACATCTACTCATCCTATTGGACACACCAAAACTTAAGCTTTTTTTTTTTTTTTTTTTGGTCTTTTTGAGACAGGGTGTCCCTGTAGCCCCAGCTGGCCTGGAACTAATGCTGGGATTAATTGTGCCACCATGCCTGGCCAAAACTTATTAACTGCAATTTAGTACCTACCTCAAGCCCTCCACTGTGAGAAAGACACATTCAAAGATTTCCTTTGTAAGCGTTCATATATTTGAAATGAATTTCAAATAACTTGTCTGCTTTGTTTCTTTGACTCATTGATAAATGTAACTGAATAAAGTAACAACTATTTCCAACATTATAGTTGTCATTTTTCACTGATTTTTTTTCTTCAAATTTTAGGTTTGAAAACATGTGCCAAAACATCAAAATACACATTTTAAATGTGAACTTTATACACTATTAATTATACCTATGTGCAATAGTTTTGTTAATCTGACATAATCTATAATTGCCTGGGAGACAGGCCTTAGCCCAGATCTGTGGCAGATTATCTTACATTAATCGAGGCAGGAAGATCTGCCCACTATGGATGGTACCGGTTTCTAGCGAGAGGATTCTAACTGCAGAGAAAGTTGAGTATCAACCAACATGCATGCATGATTTGTTCCTGCTTCTTGAATACAATATGCTAAGCTATCTGGAACTCCTGTTGCTTTGACATTCGAGCAATTATGGACTGTAAGCTGGGACTGTGAGCTAAAATAAACCATTCTGCCTAAGTTGTTTTAACCAGAGCACTTTATCACAGCCACAGAAACAAAACTTAAGACACTTGGGCGTGGTGGTGCATGCCTGTAGTCCCAGGACTTGGGAGGCAGAGGCAGATGGATCTCTGTGAGTTCAAGGCCAGCCTGGTCTACATAGTGTATTCTAGGCCAGCTGGGGCTAATTGTTGGACTGTTTTATCATCTCTGACTTAGGAGGCTTCTTTTGTACTTACTGGGTATAATGGCTGAAGAGAATGGCATGCCTCTGTGGTGGTTTGAATGAAAGCGTTCCCCCATAGACTCCAAGTATTTGGACATTTTGTCCCCAGATGATGGCACTGTTTTGGGAGGTTTTAGAAGGTGTGGCTCTCCTGGAGGAAGCACGTCACTGGGGGTGGGCTTAGAGGTTCTTAAGCCTTGCCGGATCTCTAGTTGCTCTCTTGCTTCCTGTACCTGCGTGATGATGTGATCGCTTAGCTTCTGCTGCTCCTGCTCCAGCCACCTCAGGCCATGATGCCTCCCTGTCATGATAGACTGTAATTCCCCTGAACCACAAGCTCAAATAAACTCTTCTATAAATTGCTTGGGCAGTGTTTCTATCACAGCAACAGTGGTAATACACCTCTAACAGCCTTTTTTTTTTTTTTTTTAAACTAACCGTCTAGTGATACTATTTTAAGAGTTTGGAATTGGCCACAACTAGAGGATTTATGACAGGAAAATTGGCAAACACTTCAAATTTGGGTTTGCTTGATAATATTACCAAACTGCATATGGACTTACAAACATGATAAATAATGTAGGTAATATAACCTAAAAGTATGTGAATATACAAATATATATGGTTATTCACTGGGTGAGGTATGAAAAAAAAAACATTAAACAAAAATCAGCTGTTTATTTGTAAATGGTTTAAAAGGAAATGGACACAATTCCTCATACAGAGAACAGGGAAAAGATAGGAACAGACATCTTGCCCAAGAAGGAGTACAAGTGACAAACATATGAAAGAAGGTTGAGCATCATAAATCTTTACAGAAATGCAGCCGAAACTACTACATACTTACCAAACAGTAAACGCTAAAAGACAGTATCAACCACTGGGGAGGGTGTGGAATTAGATTCTCATATACTCTCGGTTGGTAAGCAAAGATCTCTGTGGCTCGACTGGGTGGTGCACACCTTTAGTCACAGCATCCAGAAGGCAGAGGCTCTGTGAGTTCAAGGCCAGCCTTGTCTACATAGTGAGTTCTAGGCTAGGTGAGGTTACCGGGAGACCATCTCAAAAAGAGTCATTACTACACAAGAAGCTACACAGCACAGGAACCGTGTGCTGCTTGCAGCAGCTTCATTTACAGTTACTCCAAACAAGAAATAACACAGATATCCACAAACAGATGAATAAATGGTGCATCTGTAGAAAACATACTATTCAGCAATATACAGAATGAATAATTTAGACAAAACTCTTTGATAACCTCAAAAGTTACCACAAATCAAACTAGAAAAAGGGTTTTGAACCAAATCATATAAAATTATGAAAATAAAATCTATATAACTAAAGGCCTGAAAGTAAAGAACTAGAGATTAGACGATGGCATGAGCTAAATTAGAAGTGGTCAATATGCTCACTGTTAGGAGTTGAGTTTATCACTAGATTCAGTGATCTTATATTAATTTCATGTTCTTCTTCATGACCTTGGAAGAGCAACTGGTGTTAGTTGCACCTCATGCTAGCAATGAATGGCGGGGAGGAGGTGGCTAGGTCACAAAGTCACATTGCTACCTAATTTCCTTTCTCTCTCTGCTTATTTTCCTGGTTTGTAAAGCCATGGCCCTTAGGAAAACATTCCAGAAAGGCTACTGGAATGGAATTCACAGACCTAGCTGTTTTACTGATACTGACTCATTACAGAAGATGCCCTTTCCTGTATTTCCTAAGAGCTTTCATACACATCGGTTCTCCACAGTAAGACTATTCATGTGGCTCCCAGAAACTTCATTTTCTCACAATGTCTTCTCAAGGTGTCTCCTGAGTTCACACACACACACACAAAATGTCACATCCAGTCTACAACTTAGTACCATAAAGTCCTGCAGTCCTTCTGCAGAGGCCTTGCAACAATTTAAATTAGACCCAAAGTGGAAAGAGAGCTGTATTCTTCCATTATAATGATGCAAATGCATAAAGTGAACTCCACCTCCACAACCCCCCACCCCCCAAAAATTCATTCTGTTTATAATGACAGAAGGACCTAATTCTGTTGTGCAAGCCATCTCAGGCAATGAGCAGAAGCCCAAGATTACAAACAGCTGAAACAAAGACTGACCATTACAAACACTGAAACAACGTGAGGCTGACTGTCTCTGGGTTTGGGCTACAGAGGCTGGGGAAAAAGTGCCACAAGATTAACATGTCCTTTGAAAAAGTTCTCGACAAGCTATCTGCAAACAGTCTTATTAGGGTCTCTGGTACAAGAGTGGGTCAAGTCCATGCACTAATTTATGAAACAGAAGGGAATGATGGCTCAAGCTACTCAGGATTTCCTCCAGTAACAGAGATAAAAACAAAACCAAACAAAACCAACAAAATACCATCTCTGAATTTGTGACAGATAGTGTGAACTTTGGTGGTGAGAAAAATGGTTTCTGCTTCAATGGTCAGGAATAGGAACAGCAAGGGCCGCACACTGGTCAGGAAGTTTATCAGAGCTCTGTAAAGCCTCCTCATCCCTGGAAATTACAATACTGGGGCTTCCATTCAGATAGACAGCCCTCTCTCAGGTGGTCTCCTCCAGTGTAATTATACTCTAGAGTGTACATTCCCTACACAGCTAAGGTTTCTCTCCAATGTGGACTTCTTGATGATGGATAAGGACAGATTTGCTGCAAAATGATTTCCCACACTTACTGCACTGATAAGGCCTTTTTCTTGTATGGACTCTCCGGTGCTGCATGAGGCTGGAACTTTGGCTAAATGACTTCCCACAATCGCTGCACTGATAAGGCCTTTCTCCAGTGTGAACCCTTAGGTGTTTAATGAGGTTAGATTTGCAGCTGAAAGATTTGCCACATTCCGCACAAACATAGGGCCTTTCTCCTGTGTGGACTTTCTGATGTAAACTGAAGCTGGAGCTCTGCTTGAAAGATTTCCCACATTTGCTGCATTTATAAGGTCTTTCTCCAGTGTGGAGTCTGTGATGGTGAATGAGGCTAGAGCGCCGGCTAAATGATTTTCCACATTCGCTGCACTCATGAGGTCTTTCTCCAGTGTGCACTCTCTGGTGAGAAACGAGGCTAACGTTCTGACTAAACGACTTCCCACATTCACTGCACTCATAAGGTCTTTCTCCAGTGTGAACTCTCTGATGTTGAGTGAGGTTGGACCGTTGGCTAAAAAATTTCCCACATTCTCCACACTCATAAGGCTTTTTTCCAGCATGAACTTTCCTGTGGCTATTGAGGCTATAGATTTGACTAAAGGATTTCCCACATTCACTGCACTCATAAGGCTTTTCTTCAGTGTGAACTCTCTGATGCAAAATATAGCGGGAATAGTACGTAAAGAATTTTCCACATTCATTACATTGATAAGGCTTATTTTTATCTTCCCTCTGGACTTTTTGGCGCTGAATGAGATTACATCGTCTTGTACAGGCTTTCCCACATTTACTGCACTCAAAAAGCCCTTCTTTAGAGAGGACAGTATGGTCCTGAGCAGTAGGACTGCAGGCTTTCTTGCATTTTCCCCTGCTTGGACAACTTTTTCCATGGTGAGAGGCCGCCACACACTTGTTTCTGTTACTTGGTTTCTCCCGTGCATCAGTGCCTGGTTGGGGTGGAAATCCCATGCTGACCAGGAAGGCCTTCACAGCTTCCTTGCAGGTAAAGGGTTGCCCTGACAAATGGACACTGCAGCTCTTCACAAGTGAGAGTCTCTCAGCATAGCTTCTGCAGAGGACCTCCTTAACGGACTGCCTCTGTTGCTGTGGAAGATTTGTAGTGAAGTAGAGTTGTTCTCCACATGTGTACACTTCCTTTCCATGGTGGGCAGCCAAGTGCAGCATGTCTCCCGAGACATCATAAGGGCAGGCACCCTGGGAAGATGGACCTTCTCTGGAAGTCTTGACTTGAGACAATCCTGCAGAAATGCTCAGTTCAGAAGGTGCCACCTCATGCTCTGCTACTCGTGAGCAACCTGAAAGCAAAGAAGTAACTGATCTTTACGTTGCCTTTCTTAGGAAGGAGAAAACCTGTTCTTTTACATCACCTATTCATGCATTTGTGTGTGTGTGTGTATGTGTGTGTGTGTGTTTCTGTATGCACAGGTACAAGTGTACCATGGCACTTGGAGGATGGAAGACAACTTGTGGGAGTTGAATTTTTCTTTCCACCATGTGAGTTCTGGAGATCAAACTGAGGTCATCAGATTTGGGGGAAATGCCTCCACCCAATCAGTGATCGCACAGACCCCATAAATGTATTTCTTAAATAGCCAAGCAGAAGTCCCTGAAAGTTTTCAGGAGTTGAGATCAGCTTCAGGAAGTAGCTGCTATATATTACTGGGTTCCTAAGATCATAGAACACAGTAGATATTACTAGGTACAGGATATAATAAGCTGTGATCCAGGGTACAAGGTATGTTTAAGCTTATACCTTTGCCAATAGCTTTTAGCAGGATCATATCTGTTGGTGACATGTGAGGCTGTGAGGTATAAATACAAGCCCAAGAAAATCACATTGGAAGAGTAGCTTCAATGATTATTATTAACAGGCACACTCATACACACTACAAGACACAGTATTAAACACACAGAGAGAAGGTAGGATGAGAAGCACATAAAATGCATAGAGATGCAGGGATTTGTTCCATGCTGGGAAACAATAAAGATAAGTTAAATGGAAAAGACGCCAAGCGTGGTGGCACATACCTTTAATCCCAGCACTGGAGAGGCAGAGGCAGGTGGAGCTCTGTGAGTTCAAGGCCAGCCTGGTCTACAGGGTGAGTTCCAGGACAGCTGATTAAAAAAAAAAAAAAAAAAAAAAAAAAAAAAAAAAAATGGTGAATTGCCTCTCAATGTGACACAGGTCAAAGAGGACAGATTTCAGTATGATTTGAAAATAGCTCTAGTGTTATATCCTGCCCTTGGCCAGGCCCTCTCTGCGCATATCTTGTTAAGGTTAGAGTCATGAATATCCTGTGAAGTCCAGAGGTCTCTTCTCTTAGCCCCAGTAGAGGAGGTAAACAGCACCAGAGCAATGTTAGTCCTAAGGGAACAACGGCATGTACCACCTTCTGTTACCCCAAAATAGACCATCAAAACACCCAAAGCAAAAATTGTCTTAAAGGGGTAAGTTGACAGTTCTAATACTGTATATTGCAGAGCTGGAGGCACCAACATTCCAATCTCAATGCGGACACTCCAACTAAGAAGATGGCAGGTAAGAAAATAGTGGACTTAAACCAAATAAATCTAACAAACACACAGAGAATTCCCAGCAGAAGCTGAATACAGTCCTCTCTAGTTTACTCAGGACATTCTCCAGGACAGACCATGTTAGATCACAAATGAATCCTCATAAGATTTTAAAAGCCGGACAACATAAATATATTCTCCAATTACAATGGATAACTGGGATAGAGAGCTCATTCAGTGTATAAAGTGCTTGTTGCCCAAGCATGAGGACTGGAGTTCAGGTCCCCAGGATTCATGACCATGGGGGACAGGCACAGAGGCCCATCTGTAATGTTAACACTTGAGAGGTAGAGATGGGGCATGTTTGGAGTAAGCTGGTCAGCTACAGTAGCCAAAATTTTGAACTCTGGATATGTCTTTTCATAAAGAAAACACTCAATAAACTAAAAATAGCAAGAATACCTTAACATAACAAAAGTCATACACAAAATATCCACAGCTAAAATTAAACCCAGTAGTAAGACTGTAAACTTCCTCTAAGAACACAAATAAGGCAAAGACACCCACTGCTCTTCAACGCAGTGCTGGAAGCTCTAGCCATAGCAATTAGGTAGGAAAAAGAAGAAAGAGCTGGGGAGACCGTTCAGTGGTGGAGTGCTTTCTCATGCACAAGGCCCTGGATTCAATTCTCAACATCACAAACAAAAAGAATCAGAGTAGGAAATGAAAACTGTATTTGTTCTGAGATTACATATTGAGAAATCGCTAAAGATTCTGAAAAAAAACGAACAACTATGCAAGCTAATGAACAAATTCTGTATCCACAAGATACAAATACAAAAAGTGTTTTTGTTTTTGTTTGTTTTTTAGACATGTTCAACCTGTAGCCCCAGCTGGCCTGTAACTCGTATGTAGGCCAGGCTGGCCTTGATCTCACATAGATCAGCTTGCCTCTGCCTTCTGAATATTGGGATTAAAGGTATGGGGCCCCATGTCCAGCACAAATAAACTGTAATAAGCTGCATTTTATGTACTAATGAAGAATCTGAAAGTGAAACTGTTGATTCTTCTTAAAACAACATCAAAAAGAATAAACTACTAAGGAGGAAATCAAGAAAATAAAAGAACTGCACAGGAAAACTATAAATACGGCTGAAATGAATTTAAAAAATAATAAAGGAACAATGGAAAGCCATCACATGTGCATGGCCTGAAAGACTTAAAACTAAAATGTCTACAGCTCTCTACAGAGATCTACAGATTGAACCAAGTACCAAAAGACCACTGATTCTTTTGGGGCAGAAATAGAAAACTACACCCTAAAATACAGGGACTAAAAGGAGGCAACAAATAGATAAAAGAATCTTGAAGATGATGATCAAGTCTGGGGAACTCACTTTCAAAGCTCAATGCAAAGCTACAGTAATTAAATCAGTGTCATAATTCCATAAAGACAGACACCAACGGCATTAGAAAACAGAAACAATGTTCAGATGTTTGCACAAAAATTTTCAACAGGGGCCAAAAGAATTAAATGGCAAAAGAACAGATTTTTTTTTTTAAACACATGATGCTATGAAACTGGATATCCACACACAAAAGATTGAAGCTGGACCTTCATCTGACATCACATACACATGTTCCTAAAAGGGAGACCATATGCAAAGGCAGACATTTCTAGCTTCAGCCATCTTGGAGCCTGAGGAGGATAATTTGAGACCAGCCTAAGCAACATAACAAAACCGGTCCCAAAACAAATACAAAAAAAGAATGGATCAAAGATTTAAATGTAAGAGCTAGACTTCTAAAACTCTTAGAAGTGCTAAAAAAAATAAATAAATAAGATTTGTCCATGATCTCTCAGAAATGATACCAAAGGCACAGGCAATAAAAGAGAAATTTCATAAACTGGATTAATCAAAAACAAATTGAACTTCATCAAAACAAAAAACCTGGTCTATCAAGGGTTACTATCAATACACTGAAAAGGTAACACATAAAATAGAAGAAAACATTTTCAAATCATATATCTCATACAAAGCACACTGATTCATAACATTTAACAATAGCAACAACAATAATAAGCCACCAAATTCAAAAAAGATAGCCAAAAGTCTTGACATTTCTCCAAAGATACACAAATAGCCAATTAGCACACAAAGAAACTCAACAACACTTATTGTCAGTGAAAGGCAAATCATAACTACAAAGAGATATTACCTCACACCACTTGATGTTTTTTATTAAAATAACAAGTGTTGATAAGGATGTGGATTAACTAGAACCATTCATTGCATACCACTGGCAGAAACGTAAAATGAGAAAGTTGCATTGGAAAACATTATGATTATTCCTGAAATTGTAAGAAATAGGGCTGGCAGGGTGGATCAGTGGGTGAAGGCACTTGCTACCAAGTCTAAGGACCTGAGTTTGATCCCTAGGACCCACAGGGTAGAAGGAGAAAACTGACTCCTGCAAGTTGTCCTCCACAAGTACTCCTGCAAGTTCCATATGCAGTAGCACATATGTAGACACACACACACACACACACACACACACACACACACACACATACACACACAACAAATTGATTTTAAAAATTAAAAACAGAGCTGGAGAGATGGCTCAGTGGTTAAGAGCACTTGCTATTCTTGCAGAAGACCTGGTTCAAATCCCAACACCCACATGGCAGCTAACAACTGTCCCTAACTCCAGTTTCAGGGGATCTGATGACGGATGACCTCTTCTGTTCTCTGAGGGCACTGCATGACACGGGTGCACGTGCATGCAGGCAATATACACATACACATAAAATTAAAATAAAATAGAAAAAAATTAAAAACAGAATTACTGTATTATCTAGTCATTCTATTTCTGGAACTATATGAAAAAAATTTAAAAACAGGGACATGAAAAGATATTTTCATACTGATGTTCCAGCAATATTATTCACAGTAGTCCAGAGTGGTAACAACTCAAGTGTACTTTGATGCATGATGGAAGGATGGATAGACAAAATGTAGTAGACCTACACAGTGTCTTAACAGGGAAGGAAATTCTGACCCATGATACAACATGGATGAATGTAGGGAATGTTATACACAAAAGAACAAGTATCAAATTACTCCATTTATATGAAGCACTTATGAGTGATCAAATTCATAAAAGCACAGTGCCACTGAACTACATACTTAAAATAGTTAAAATTGTAAAACTTTATGTTACATGCATTTTGCCAAATTAAAAATCAGGTCACATTTTGGAAGAGGTTCTTCTAAGAACAGTCTAAGCACTGACAATGTCGGTGACTCCCCAGCATGGCACAGACAGGCACGCATAAATACTAGGTATAATGTAGAAACACTTGGGGGTGGGGACATTAAGGCACTTGTCCATGCACAAAGACCAAAGACTAGAGTTTGGTTCAGAATCTCACTGGAATGATGAGAGGGCATTGTGGATTTCTTCAATTCGAGATGCAAAACACGGAGATGAGATCCCCAGCACAAGCTGACTAACAAGACTAGACATATCAGTAAGCTGTTGATTTGAGAGACCTGACCTCAATGAATAAAGTAGAGGAGTAATTCTGGCATCAACCCGGGCTTTCACATCTACATACACAGACACCCACACACATGCAAA